TTAAATCAGTAGTTCATGGCATTAAAAATGATTATAATATGATACTGGATAATTATAGCAGGAAATAAAACTTTATGTATTCAAATTTTATGAAAATGGATATAAATATATAAATACGTATAAAGGATAAATTTTATTTTCTACTTTATGGTGTTTTGATTTCCTATATTTTGTATAATGATTGTTAAAATACATTTTTAAGTATATTCGAAGAATAAATAAGAAAGAAGATAAACCTTTTTTTTTAATTCTCTCTGATCAACAATTTCCTTAGAGGATCTTGATTCAACTCTTTGATCGCTAATTAAAGTATTTAGGCTCACACTTCTTCTAAGCTTTTGTTAAATTACTAATACCATAATGGATGAAAGTGATGAGGATTGACATTTATTAAATGTTCACTCTGCGCTAATATCTAGCGTAGGTCCTTATCATTGATAAACTAAAACTTCCTTTTGGCGAATAGTAATAGGATAAATAAATAATTTGTCAATGAATACACTAAAATATGCAATACATTTATTGGAGAAGAAATTTTTTTTTTTTTTATTTTATGAGGGAGTCTTTATTCTCCCACTTGACAAAAGCCCAATACATTTATTGGAGTAGAAATTAAAGCATTTAGAAATGGAAACAAATTTGCAAAAAAATCTAGGCTGTTCTGTGGTGGTGGTGGTGGTGACAGTAGTAATTTCCTAATAAATAAACTATATTTCGATTAATTGGACCTTAAATGATTTTCAGAAATCAACATTTATATTTTTGAAAGTTTTAGAAAGTGCCAGATATTATATTTTATTCCTGGTTGAATTTCATTGAAGAGCATGGCTTAAAGCCCAGAGCTCAAGAGTGTTGGGTTTTGCTAGTAATTTATCGAGAGGCCTTGAGTAAATCACATAACCTTTATGCTATATATTTGTATTATCTGTAAAATGAGGCAGTGGACTAGGAACAGTGATTTTTTAAGCTGTTCCTGACTGGAAGCTCAAGGTGGGCAGATCCTATGAGAGTTTTTGCTCATGTATCTGGAGGGCCAGTGTAGTAGCAAGCATGTAACTAGTGCAAAACCAGCACTCAGTGGCTACAAGTTAAATGAATGACTGAATATGCCCTTGTGGAGCCCTGCCTGGGAGTCTGCCTTCCCATCAGAGCTTTACCCAGCATAATTCTGCCTGTGTCAGGTTTATATATTGGGTATAAGGTAATATTTCATTAAAAAAACTAAAGAATGATTTTACTGCTGAAATGTTACTATTGTATGCTATTATTTTTAAAAAAAATACAGATCATATCTCTTACTTTTATTTTCCTCTTCTATAAATACCAGACTCTGTGAAAGAGCTGTGTATAAATTGAATTTTTGGCAGACAGACGGATGGTCTGTGTATTCATTGATGGATGAATCGGAGGTGACTAGGCAAAGAAGGGCTGATGGGATATGCCTGTCAAAAGGAACAGCTTATACAAAGGCAGATCATGAGACAGTATGGCAAGTTTAGAGGAGAGAAATAGTGTGTGACTGAATGCAGGGTTGCAGGAAGATAGTAAGGGATGTGGCTGGAGGTAGCTCCCGTCATAAAGAGCCTTGTATACTTGGTTAGGACTTTGGCTTTACCTGGGGAAGCAAGCCATTGGAAATTTTAAGAAAATGAGATAACATGATCATATTCGTGTCAATCCCCATCACTTTCATATTCTCCAGTTGCACTATTGAGTTTAGATCTTTGGAGTCTGAGGGATATCTGTTAAGATACATCTTCACCTAGGATTTAATGGAACTATTATCATAAATAATTTCAAAAAGTTTTCTCTTCCAAACCATGGTATTCTTTGTCTTTTCAAGTTAGTTTCAGAATTCTAAAAATGATTCCTTATATATAACCATTGCTCTTCCAAAGAGAAAACTTACTGTCTCAATTAAGAATCTACTTAAATTTATAAATATCCCGACATGAAGTGGGGATAAAGAATCAACTCTGGAGACAAATAAAAGTCTCTTTGATCCAAAATATTTTATACTGAAGTATAATTTCATTTGTTTACAACTCTGAGACTCATTAGGGAACCTACCCACAAGAGATTAAATATGATATACAAGGCAGGGTACATTGAAATTGGGACTAAAGGACCAGCTACTAGAGTCATCTTGAAAGATAATTTTATCACTTGAAACTAAATTTTGTCTGCCTAAGATACCTACTAGTGCCTTCATTTCCAGAAAAAATAATATTCATATTTCAATAACAGGTACACCATGCAAGCGTGTGCACGATTTAGGGATGGAGACACAGCTGGGTGTGATTTTGGTTTATTTTAACACTAAGTTTTAACTTGTCACTTTATGACTTCTGGACTTTAGTATATACAATCAAAATAATAAATGAGTTAGTGTCATAAGCGAAGTGAAACAAGAAAGGAAAAATACACTTAAAATAATAAAAATCTTTTGATATGCCGCTAAACAGAATATTGCTGACATTGGAAGAGTTCATTCAGTAGCATGAATCCTGAAAGAAATAATTAAAAGGACATAAAGTGCCTATTACCAAAATGAATCTAAAACAATGAAAATCCTGTAAGGTAAATGGAATAGAAATAGAATGATCCATTTTCTCATTAAGCTACTCAGTATAATGTTAATGTGTGTATATTTTCAAATTATTTTTACTTTTTTGCTTTCTGGCACTAATTTTATTTTCAACTTGAGAAAAATAACATTAGCTAGTGCTTGAAATATCTTCAGTTTCATACTGAAATATTTTCTTAATTTGCCTAGAATCTCATCAAAGAGCCAAGATGTAGAATTCAGACAGCGGTGGAAAATGAAAAATAGCAAATTACTTTGGTAGCAAGCTAAAGCAACAATACATTTTGTAAGACTACTTATGTTCAATAAGAATAATAAAAGCTAGCATTTCTTCAGCCCTTGCTATGTGCAAGGCTAAACCGGGCTAAAGTCAAGTCCTTTTGTTTAATTCCTGTGATGAGCCTATGAAGAAGCACTATCATCCCATTTCAAGATGAGGTTTAGAGAGGTTAAATAATTTAGTTTACAGAGATAGTGATAGATTTTGTATACATTAGGTTACAGAGGTAGTGATAGATTTACACCCAGACCTGTGTCCTCTTGAGCCTAATCTTTTATGCTACGTCTAAGTCATAAGCAGTGCCTTTTAGGCATCACGTGCTCCCATGTCACCCTGGCCATCCCCTGTCATAACATTTTCCTCATTTTATTATAATTCTCTCTTTATACACCTGCCTCCCCCTACTTCATGGTTAGCTCCTCCAAGGCAAAGGCAGTTGTCTTATTTATCCTTCTAGTACCTGAGGCTTAATGCAGTGGCATGTCCTTTAGTAGAAACTCAGTAAGTGCCTGTTGAATGACTAATGTTGTCAGAAGTCACTAAAAGTTAATATATGAAAGAAAACATTACATTATTATGGAAAACAACTGAAGTGGGGGAAAAGTGCCAATTACTTCTAATGGTTGGTTAGATATCCCTTCCCTCAAAGATGAGATTTTTCAGAAAGTGGGTGAGTTGATTGATACTGCCTAAAGGAGTACAAAGGAGTATGAAAAAAAAAAAACCCACAGAGATGCTTAAGTATGTGAAATAATATCTACAGTATCAGGAATGGTTAAAGGAAGGAATACTGAAAGCATAATTTAATTAATGATTTTTACATTAATGATGGGCTTCTACACAGAGAAGAAACCAACTTTTCATTGATTGTGAGCCCCAAATAAAAGGAAAAATCGGAATATTTTAAGCATTAGGTAATTTTTTAAAGGTTAAAATGCAATTAGTACAGGAAAGAAAACTTTTATATTAAAACAGTATTCAATGTAATTTAATGGGGCAGAAATCAACTTGGACTTCAGCTTGAGGGATTGAAAGCTTATCAAAGAGAAACATTTCTGATGATAAAGAATGTAATATAAGTTTACCAAGTGGGTTGGGTGAAGATTCTAAGGCAGTTTGCACATGCATCTTTAAAGTGGGTGGTGCTAACTTCTGTAATCACATCTTGCTCAATGATGCTCTGATTAGATGTGATGATAATGTCCATTTTAATCTGGGTCTTTAATTGCCCTGTCTGAAAACTAGAAGCAATAAAAGCTCTCTAGCCTAGCTCTTCTAAAGGATGCCTTGAGCTTGAATTCAGCTGTTGCCCTCAGCAATCTTTAGGAGTCAAAGACCAGAATGAGCAAGGGCTGCCAGCAAAATGATGTGCCCACTTTGCCTGCATTGACATTTGCAGTTGCCTAAGCCCTCAGAAGACTGGTGAATACCCTTTTCACTCCATAGACATGAATTCGT